GGTTCATTTTCTTTGTTAGTATCATTAACTTTGTGAATTTCATCCTCCAAAAGATCTCGATTTCGCACTGATCCAGTTGGTATAGCCATTGTTGCTTTTTGTCGATTAATAAACTGTCTCAGCCATCCTACCATCTCACCATAATTATCCTGTTCGATAGCAAGTTGAGCCGCTTGTCGTGCAAGTCCCCACACTTCTCCATATTTAGCTTTTTTCTGTACCGCACGACGTAGAATGCTAGTAACAGTCTTAGGTATGGTTGAAGGATTTGGTGTAAGTACCGCGCCCGAACAATTTTGTACAGCTTCTTGATTTGCAAAACAACAAGCTTCCATGACTACATCCTTATCTTTCTGATTATCGGTATACCACCGCGAAGGTACCATCTGAATGTGAAACCCTGCGACTGTTGAAATCATCATTACTCGGAAATAATGACGACAGACAATGCCACGAGATATATTAAACATGCATGAACAAAGATATGAAATAGGATCGACTACTACCACGAAATGTATGTGTTTATTCTCAGGTCGCATATCTATAATCTTCCATACTTCACGGACATTCCTTTCACCAACTTCAGCGATCATTGATTTCAATAGAATTTGCTTAGCGTCATACACATCCTCAATAAATCCGTCTGTCACACTAATACCCGGATCCTATGTAGTAAAATTGGGAGTTGGGTTGGGAGGAGGGAGGGGAAGGTAGGAAGATCGGATGAAAGTGTTAGATCATTGTTTAATGACTTCAAAATCAAAAGTAGATTTCACTTACCTCATTATGATTATCCATTTTATTTGCAATAAAGTAAAGGCATTGTGCCATTTCCAAGCGTTCTGCAGATAAAATATGAGGAGTCAGGTATTCTGACATCACTTTATCAATTGCGGGAAAAAGATCGCGGCCAACTGATGTGATTCCCATGCAGGACGACATAGTGCGATACTCAAAAAACTGATTCCATTTTGCCTCGTCCTCAAGTCTTGCATCCAGTGCGTCAGCAAGATCACACAAGGTACTATTCGCTGCTAATACGCGTTTGATAATATTATTGAAGCCTTCAACACGGGAAGTAGTTTGGATTCCTGCGGTAAAGATTTTTGACGTAAACGCGCGGGCCCACGCTTGTCGGCTGGGGAAAAGAACTCTCATCAGATAGTCTTTAGCATTGGGGGTATTTTTCAGTAAGATTTGACCATCTTTCATAAAAAAGTTGTTCACACAAGCTATTACGGCATTGGTAGAAGTCATAAATGAAGCTCTCGTATTGATTATAAAGCTTGGATTTGAGATTCTTTGGGAGATTTTCGCTAATATGAAAAATGCAGTGAACTTGATAGGTAGCTTCATATATTTGTCCGATTGCTGCTTCTGCTGCGGGATCCGCATCAGTAACGAATACTAACGGTTCAGTCATTGTCGCGTTTTTTGTGCATTCCAGAATCCATTTATAGGACTCAGTTGTTTCGTCTGACACAAGAGCTTGTGCAACAAGACGTGACCTAGTATTGTTGTCCACAGCAAGAAAAAGTGAAAGTGGCATTTGATAACGGTTGGTTTTGGCGGTGTTGTCATTTAAAATGACATCATGATACTCTAACCAGAGAGTAATCTGTGTGGGTGACATCCAAAAAAGGCGGATCAGTCTATTTTCATCGTCAAGTTGAAATTCAACGAACCATTCAGGATCGTGAGATTTGTGGCGAATGAGTGTTTGTAGCAAACGAGATGCATCCTGTGCTACATCTGTTTTAACTTTGAATTTTTGTATTGCATTGATGAGATCACAGTCGAGAATGGATTGAGTTGGAAACTTTGCCTTTAATAATCTTCGTTGAGTGGCGATTGGTAGATTTCCATGTTTAGTGAGAAATTGAATTTCGTTGAGGACATCGTCAGGGATGGATCAGTATTTTGGAGCATACTTTTTAGTATCAGAATATAGGGTGTGGTTATGTATATCGGTGAGAGTTGTAAGAGTTATGCGTGGAAAATTTTTTGGACAATTGACATTGGCATGCCATTCACATTCTTGGCGTTTTGATTTATGGTCTCGATGATTATAAATGTCGATTTGTTTTTTTGGTTGATAACGGCCGCCAAATTCGCATCCAAAACCACGGTGTTTAATGCTGCCATCTGAATATCGATCTAACCGTTTTTTGATAATGGTAAATCCTTGTTGCTTCCCATAGGCTTCCATAATCGTATCAACTTCTTCCCATGATGAAAAAACATAACCGGTACGAAGATTTATAGCTTTATTAGGTATGTTTAAAGCTAGGTAAAAGTAAAATAATATAAGAAATCTAAACACCTATCCCCACCAAACAACAATTAATTTTATCAATATACTTTCATGTATGTCGTTTCGGAGTACTTGATTGCTCGACTGGAATATTTGTTCTGCATCAGGAATAAAAATAACTTTTTAGTGTAGATTTTTGTAGATTTTTTTTACGCGTTTTGGTAGATTGAGAATTTTTTTATGTTTTGTAGATTCTTATGTTTCGGATATATCCTTAACCCAATATCATTAAAGGAATATTGTCATGCTTAGATAGAGTTTACTGTAGTTATTGCTTTTTTCGAGGCTTAAATCTCATAATTTCGTTGCTTAAATCCATTATTTCAATGCTTAAAATCCATAATTCATACCGCGCATATCAGACATCTTTAACTCACAACACGAGCCTACTAAAAGCGAGTGAATAAACGTTATAAACGTTGTAGATTCTCATTGGTTATTTTGTCACGTTATACGTGATTGGTCACATACCACATGATTTTCTATCACATGATTTTTCCGATGTTCCGATGTTGTTACAAAATTTTCCATGTAACAGGTTGTTACACATACATTTATTCATA